CATCTCCAAAAGAGATAATCCAAAAACAATAATCAAAGTCAGCATTACTGGGGGGAGGGGGGGAGTTTAATCTACAAAAACTGCTTACTTGAAGAACACACTCGTGGAATGTATGCATTTTAAACATATTTCTTTAGCCCTGGCGAGGTGGCTCAATTGGTTCAAGCATTGTTGCATACACTGAAAGGCTGTGGGTTCAATTTCCAGTCAAGGCACATATCCAAGTTGCGGGTTCAATCCCCAGTTAAGGTGCATAAGGGAGGTTTCTCTATCTTCCTCTCCCACTCCCTTCCTCTCTCTAAAATCAATGAGGGGGAAAAAACAAAACATATCCTCAGGTGAGGATTTAAAATAAAAATTAAAAATAAATAAATAAATAAAACCTATTTCTTTTAAAAGCCACTTGTGGATGAAAAGAGGCCACATACTAAACCTGAGAAGCTCAGGGGAGGCCTGCATGGCAGCCTTACAAACTCAGACCTAAAATAACCACAAAGGGTGGTCTAAAATTAAAACTTTTAACTAAAAGCAGTTTATGGTAGGCAGTCATGCCCTAGGCTAGATTCTTCCCTGGCAAAGGTCAATTTTCACCTTAATTGAGCCTGTCTGTTGTCTTTTTATCTACGATAATACACCTTTGGAATGGCAGAGGAATTTCCTTTTTCCAACCCCTCAAAGCACAAGGTACCGCACCAGAGCAGAGACCACAGATCCCCTCACTTATTCAGTTAATCATTGACTATTAACCACCCTGGACCCACCTATGTAAAAGAAATATGTCTATCATTTTGCTTTTCATCCAATCCCAGAGGTTTCCCTGCTTTGCTTTCTCCCACCTCACTAAACTATCACCAATGGATTACATGTAACCAACTTACGTCTTCTCTTTTTATTGTAATGTATAAAATAAGATGCAAAAATTCCATTCTCTGGAGCAGTTTCTCAATCCATTAAGATTTTGCTTCCCGGCAACTGTCAGTTTGACTCAAATAAACTCATAAACATTCTCTACAAGTATGAATGTTTCTTACACTGAAACACTGTACCTACAGGGTCAGTTTAATTGTTTTCCATGATACTAATTTAATTGCATCACGCAAGCATGTATCCATGATACAATTAACTGTTCTGAGTTTAAGGAAAAGATATCATTTCTCAGTAGTGTAACTGTGCAGAAACTTCATTTCTTTAAATGACCTTTTCTCCTCTTTCCTTTTGATTCAAACTGGCCTCATCCAGCACCCTGACTCATTTCTCCCTAGGATGTCCACTCCCATCACTGAGCCCTCAGAACAATGGGGTTTTGGTCAATATCAAACTGTCTTAAGAACAAAGCCTCTGGTCAGTTGACTACAGAAACAGAGTCTTGGTCAAGCTAAAGATAACATCTTGACTTCAGTTGTTTCAGTTCCTGGACAAAGAAAGCAGGAGGGTACTACAGACCACACCCTCAGGAAACCAGACAGAACAATGCCATGGCGGATCTCAGGATCTGATACAATGATCAACTACTCCCTACCCTTGCCCCAATCAATCAGTAGAGCCCAAGACCCCAAATCCTTTAGCCACCATGATTAATGATTTTCCCCCTATAAAACCCATCCCCTGGAAGCCATCAGGGAGCTAGGTCTTTTGCACTAGCTTACCTGTGACTCCGGGCTTGGCACCACTTCCTCAACTAATAAATCTCTACTTTCTTTGCTGCACACTCCTGCTCATGTCTGATTGGGCTTTGATGTGCACAGATGAACGGACCCCTTTAGTACAGAAATAGTAGGTTTCATTCTTGGAAATGAGAGGCAAGCAGGCACTACTGTGTAAGTTATGAACCACCTTTTTCCTCAAAATAAAAAGGGTTTGAAAGAGACAGTGAACAAGCCCTAACAAACCCTTACTGAGTAAGTCTCTGAGAAGTTTTACTACAGGATAATTATATTCCTGGTATCACATAGTTAAAAGCAGCAATTTCAAGTATATACCCACATAATCTCTTTCTTCTCTAAATAGTAAAAATACCTACTATTGGTAATTGAGAGCTAATTTGGAATTTCTCTGTATACTGTTTTCAATAATCTCTGTGTCCGTTACACATAATCTATATATTATACCTATTTTAATCACTTACACAGTTAAATGAAAATATTTTAGGTCTATACTTGATAAATAAAACACTATAAATTGTTAAGCAATAACATTTTTATTAACTCCCACTATTCCACACTAATGAAAGAGACTACTGGTATAGGTAACCCAGAAATCATTCGCATTTTATACTGAATCTAAATATGAAATCAGTAGAGAGTTCCTCCTTAAATGTTTTACAGAGGTAATATTGTTCATATTTCCTGGGCTTACATCTAAACAAGTGAGAAAAGTAGTCCTACAGTCTGCTGCATGCAAGCCAGACTAGAATTAAAAGTTAAAAACTGACTATGCATTTCTAAAGTGGGGACAATCAACAGTATATAAAACTAATACACATATATACAGGTAATGCAAGTTTATAAAAGTAATATACATTAATAAGAAAATTAATTTTACATTCAAGTGAGTGCTTCCTTAATTCTCCCTTTCTACTATTTCCAAGCAGGAAGCCAAAATTAGGTTATATAACAAAGCTTAATATTCTTGTGCAAACACATCAGGACTGTTATTTTACATAGAAGAGTAGTGCTATGAGACCAAACACAAACTGTTAAAGAAGTAAAATTTAAATTAAAAAGTATTAGATAATTAATATTACCTAGGAAAAGTCAAGCTCTGATTTTTTAATGTTTTAGGGAATTATCTTAAAGACTATTTTCTTAATATTCAAACTAGCACCATCAGAATGTGTTAAGGCAAGCTCAAGCTAAATTATACTAAAAATTACTAATGAATACAGAGAAGTAATTCTAAAACCATATTTTAAGTATTTTGCCTAAAAAACAAAAGTATTAAGATCAATTTTGTGCCCTGGCGTAGTAGCTCAGTTGAGTACCATTCTGATACACCAAGATTGTAGGTTCAGTCCTCAGTTAGGGCAACATACAAGAATCAACCAATGAATGCATCAATAAGTGGTACAACAAATCGATGTTTCTCTCTCTCTCCCTCCCTCTCTAAAATCAATAAATTAAATGGTAAAATTTTTTTAGAGACCAATTTTGCTGTCTAAAGAGTAAGTTATCAAAAACATAACATATGGTAATTTAGTTAATGAAAAAAACAATGCTATGAAAGGAGCAAGTTTCCAGTCCTCCCCAATCCTCACATGTTATCTTGAAGCTAGAACTTGCCCATTATACATGCAAAGGCAACTGTGAGGTATAAAATAATGGAGTGACAGAGAATTCATTGCCTGTATGACTTAAGATAAGACAAAACCTCTCCATTCTCAAGTAGGAATGCCAATATTTCCTCATATCACGAGAATTAAGCAAGCACTGGGTCAGTGCCTGTCACAGATAATTCAAATTACGGTGCCATTTAATATACATGCAGATAGATACAGTAACAGATATAGAGGTGTGCATGTGCCGCTAATATACATATTTCCTAGCTCAGTCCCAGGACAGGACCTAGAAGCACTGACACTTCACAGTGGCAATCTACTTCTAAACACCATTCTCCTAAAGAAAGGGACCAGGGCTCCTTGGAAAAGTGGTTGCATCCAAGGCTGGGAAGGGAAAGTATGATACTAAAACATCTTGAGGTGCCCGAAAATAAGAAAATGCTCAATAAAGAATGAGGGAGGGGGCCCAAGCCGGTTTGACTCAGTGGTTAGAGCGTAAGACTGCAGACTGAAGGGTACTGGGTTCGACTGCAGCCAAGAGCACATACCTCAGTTGCAGGCTCAATCCCCAGCCCTGGTTGGGGCTCATGCGGGAGGCAACCAATCCATGTGTCTCTCTCACATCAATGTTTCTTTCTCTTTCTCTCCCTCTCCCTCTCTCTCTCTCCTTTCCACTCTCTCTGAAAAGTAATGGAAAAAATATACTTGGGTGAGGATTAAAAAAATAAAAACAAAAAGAATGGGGGACATGTTGAGAAGACGCAGGAGTCAGCCTGAACGAGGTCCTATGGCCAAAGTTGGAACAATGAGCAGCAAGATAAATAATGATGTGCCACACTACATCTCACAGAATAAAAAAAAAACTCCATGAGTTCATACTGACATAAGCTCTTCCTTACCCAAGAATTGCAATTAATAAATGTGGATGAAAGAAGAAAACAGAAAATCACCATTAAGCAAATAATGCAGTAATAACTGTTGCAGATAAGATCCACTGACAGATACTAGAATTAGTAGACAAAAAGGTTGAGGAGAAACAGGATATTTATTCATTACAATGAGAAAAATATTAACTTTACTGTGGAGAAATCTAGCAGACAACAGTTAGTGCACTAGTGATAAGAGATACTGACATCATGAACCATCTGATACAATGCACTGAGAAGGAGAGACTATCACTTCTGTACTCTTGCCAAAAAATGCACACATCAGACAAACCAAGTTCAGGGGCATGCTACAAAATAACTAATCGGTTTTCTTCAGAAGTTCAAGGTCAAAAAAGACAAGAAGCAGCTGAGGAACTGTCACAGATTGGAGGAGACTAAAGAGACATTACAAATAAATGGAAGGTGAGAGCCTAGAGTGGATCCTGGAAGAGAAAAAGAACATAAATGGGAAAACTGGCAAAAGTCAAAACATGCCTATAGTTTCGATAACAGTACTGCACTAATGTTCATTTCCTGGCTTATTAATTATACTCTAATTATGTAAGATGTTAACATTAGAGGAAGATGGGTAAAGGGATATGCAAACTCTATACTTTTACTACTTTTCTGTAAGTCAAAACTTATTTCAAAATAGTTTTTAAAGATTTTTAAAATATGAAATCCATAGTTATGTAGGCAATGTATAATAGTTATCTTTTTGTTTTGCATTAAAATCATTAAGTTATGCTAAAATATCCCTGAAAAATTTAATCAATAAAATATACTACAGATCTCATTACCTGTAATTTTATATCCATAAGCAGCTAGTTGTCCAGCCATATATTCTCCATCCGAATTATTATGAGAACAACCCCATGTTCGTATCCATATTTTCTGTATGCCTGGAATAGTGCTATTAAACAATCAATAAAAGAAAAAAGTAAGTCTCATTAAAGGATTTTTAAAATAAAAAGCACTAGAGGATTTCTGGGCATATTATGCAAAAAAAAAAAAAAAATACACTCACTGCAAACCACTCATAAGCTATTCATTAAAAGTACTTCATATATAAAAATAGAGTTCAAAAATGTAATAGTTTTAGGGGGACAAAAGGGCTTTCAACTTGGATTGCCCTAATAACTTGTAATTAAACAGAAATTACCTTAAGGACATGTTCAGGAAAAATTTGATAAACTTCAGTCATTTTAAAAATAGAAGCAAATTTTAAGTCCATAGATTTTAAAAGCTTAATGTTCCAAACAAAATAATCAAGTATACTGAAACTTCCAACAAATTATTAAATAAATAAATATAGGCATATTAAAACTATACAACTGCATAATAATTTCTGGCTAGGTTGTATTAGAATTTCATCAGAGACCTAATAATGTAAACAACACAATAATTCATTTGTGTCCAATGCCTGTACATGAACCATAAATATTTGTAAATTTGCTAAGAAAAATCATATGCCCAAAAAACCACTGTCTCATAAAACCCACAAATTCCAGTAAAAATTTTAATTTAGAAATAACACAAAATTGCGTACCAGGTACAGTAACATCAAAGAGAGTATTTGGCTATCTATATGCCAAATATTGTCATAGGCCCTGCCTTCAAGAAACATGCAATTTGACACCTTTTTTTTTTTTAAAAAACCAGTTACTTTGTTAAGTTAAAAAACATTCAAATAAAAAAAAAAATAACTACATATTTCCTCTCAAAAAGTTCAAACATTTTTTTAAAAGAGACATTATGAATATCAGGTAGACCAGTATTACCAGCCTCTCCCCTGGCATGATACTGAATTTAAAGAAACAACAACAATCTCACCTATCACTTGGTGGACTGTCTTCCTCTTGCAGATATTTTTGGGTGTTTCGCCTTCGCACCTTTGGAACAATGTGCTTTCTTGCAAAATGCCTATCTTGTGGCTTTGAATCTTGCTGAGACACAATATCTTCTATGTCATCCAGTAGTGTATCACAGGATGCAGAAGGCATCTTCTTCATCATATAAAAAAGTTATAAATGATAAAAACTTATGAGTCCCTCAGAAAATCCATTTAACATAGCATCACCTATAAAATATCCTTGCTAAACCTGAATCCAATAAAGCTTTTAGATTTAACTTCATGTTTACAGAGCATGCAAAGATAAAGAAACACAAGGAAACAATTAGACAAATCCTATTGATAGTGGGACATTCCAAGGTTCAAATGGAACTATGCCTTCAACAAATCAATATCATGGAGTAAAAAGCAGGAGGAACTGTTCAAGATCAAAGGAGACTTAAAAGCCTAACAACTAAATGCAATTCATGTTCTTGTTTAGATCTTACTTTGTCCAACCAGCTGCAAGACATTTGGGGAACAACTAGGGAAGTTATAATACGAACTGGGTATCAGATAATATTAAGATAGTACTATAAATCAATGATTTCCAACCTTTTTAATCTCATGGCACACAAACTAATTACAAAATTCTAAATCTGACAAAAAATAGGTATAATTATGATTGATTTACAAAAAATAATAATGATAATAATAATAGTAATTATCTACCACTTTGGTTCCAAAGTGACTTTTTAAAAAATCAGTGCCTAGCCCAGCCGGGTGTGGCTCAGCTGTTGAGCATCGACCTAGGGTCCAGGAAATCACAGTTTGATTCCCTGTCAGGGTACATGCCCAGGTTGCAAGCTCGATCCCCAGTAGGGGGCATGCAGGAGGCAGCCCATCAATGACTTTCATCATTGATGTTTCTATCTCTTTCTCTCCCACTTCCTTCCTTTCTCTGAAACAATAAAGATATATTTAAAAAAAAATAAAAATCAGTGCCTACACTTGTATATAAGGACTTCTGGTATCAAGAATTAGCCAATCAGATGTAAACCTATGTGACATGACCAATAAGATGCAACTCTATTATATGACCTACAGATTTATGGTTCAAGACAAGGCATTCACACTGAGTGGCTCTTGTTGTGTTAGTTGTCACTTTTTAATTGGACAATCTAAGGGAAATGAGGTCAGTGCCCTGATTGGTCAGGTATTGCATATTTGTTTGTTTTTTTAAAGGTTTTATTGATTTTTAGAGAGAGAGGAAGGGAGAGGGAGAGGGAGAGAGAGGAAAACAATGATCGGCTGCCTAATGGGACAACACCTAACCAACTGAGCCATACCAGCCAGAGCTGATATTACGTTTTGAAAATCTTTGTGGTGCACCAGTACAAATCACTGCTATATATCATTAAATATAAAGTATTATCCTTATGTTTTAAAATCCTTATTTTATATACTGAATTTATATATATTATTTATATATTATTAAAAATCTTATAGTTTTGGATATGCATACTGAATATTTGTAGGTCAAATGTCATTATGTCTGTAATTTACTAAAACAAAAAATTAGATTAAGACATACGGAAAAACATTTACAACACTTAAATCTAGGAAAAAGATATGTTGGTGTTCACTATCCTATTCTACTCTCCTGAATGTTCAAAATTTTTGTAGTCAAGAAAAGAAAATGTGGACACAACTTCAAGGAAGAAAGAGAAGACATTCTTTTCCCTATCTCTTCTGCTAAGTAAAACTAAAACTTGGAACATTATATATGAAATAAACTTAAGAAGACTTTGAAAGGTGGAGACAAAAAGGAAGACAGGCTAGGAACCTTGGAATCCAAAAAAACCCCACAATGGTGAGTTCCTTGGGGGGG